TATGTTACAATAAGATCTGTTTCATTGATTCAGTTAAATAAATAAATAATCAAGATTTCACTCGCAAAAAGTTAATAAAAGTGTCGTAGGCACTTGAAATTTTACGTGATAGTTAATTTTTATGAAAATCTCGCGCGATATGAAATTTGGAAATGCCTTTCCTGTACGCCCCAGCGTAGGTGAATTCAAATTAACGCAGAATGAGCTTTGTTTCGATATGAAAAGCACCGTAAGTTGTACCAGCCGAATAAAGTTTAACTGCGGGATAATGTTAATTATAGAACTTCGATACTGCATTAGAGTTTCTGTAATGTTGCAGAAACTAAAGAGTAGTTTCACTGCGAATAATATTGCGCCGGGTACGAGGTTAGTAGAACTTTAAGCATGACGGAGTTCGACGTATTATTTCTACGATATTTTCCTTTCAAAATTATCATCACCGTCGCAATTAATACGTAAACTTCATGGAGAGAAACGTTTAGATTTCAGGTGGTTCAATGATACCTTCATGGCACAACAAGAAAATGTTTTACAAACATTTATGGTTCCTTATAGTTTTAAATTATCCAAAGTACCAAGTACGATTTTTTGGGAATGAGATGCTTAATAAAATTATCATACAATTACGAGAAATCTGCAGGCAAAAAAATATTAATGTATTTTGATGCAAACAAAAAAGTTACTGAAAGTACATATTACCAATGGTATTCTGTAATTTTTGTTACTATCTTTGAGTTAATGATGCAAAACTTTAAAAAAAAAAACAGAGAAAGTATTTTAAGTAAAGAATACGTATAAGGAACTTACTAGTATTTATAGATAAGAAAAATTATAAGAAATTTTCCAATTAAATTCAAACAAATTCGAAAGTTATAGACACAGTGATGATTTTTCAAAGTTGTGTTTAACATAATACATGATAATAAGTTAAAATAATAGAGGAAAAGGGCAAATATTTTGCATAAGCATTTCATAAAGTAAATATGTCAAGATTATACACAAGTAATTTATATACCTCCTTTCTTTACAAGTTATATTAAGCTACCATGGCATAATTTGTTATCCTTTCATTAATAATCGGGAAAACCGGTCTCATACTTTTAATCAATAATGTGATCCCTTTCTCTTCTCTTCTGGTTTTTGGCAAGTGATAGGAAATGACAGAAGGAATGCCTATATGAAAGCCAAAATTCGTATAAATATCCAGAGTGTAATAATAAAATTATCTGAACCCACCAATAATGTTCATGCGTTGTTTTGGGTTGTCAAAGAAGTAGGAGGAATCCATGAACATTACACAAGACCAAACGAATGTTCAACACTGCCACCATATGATTTACGATTCGGTCGCGAACGAAGAGACGTCAACTCCCTTTTATTTAACCAAGTGCCCTCCCTTCCTGTAATGACGGTATTGGAAGCAGAAACGGTTCGTATCCGAAGTAATTGAGTATGGACAGAAGCTGAAAGCGAAGAGGGAAGAGAGTGGATATTAGCGGTACCCTTTGTCGAGTATCTTCGGTTCGTGGACCTTTTACCAAACGTGTCCCCATTTGCAGAGATCTATATTTTACGATCAACGGTATTATCACGAGTCCTGATGTTAACTATTTATACGACGATCGTCTGGCACGAAGTGCAAAACACTGTGAAATTACTGGATTCTGTGGTTACAATATTGTCAATCAGCAAATGCTTTTGTAATTTACAACAAAGAAAGGATCTAGGAAGGTAAAATGTTGCTCCGTTGTTACATAACGTATTAAGAGTAAATTGGAGCTTTTAACAATTTCTATTAAAATGATACCTTGTTTTGGATTTGGGATTGCAGTCTGATAAAGAGTATGCTTGGAATGGTCGTTAACGACAATATGCGAGAATATTCGATTACCATTACACGAGAATAACATTATTACTGTAAAAATTCATCAAATAGTATTACAAGTTATTTCACGATGTAATAATTGTGTGATGGGTTTACCACTGCGTTTAATATAATTTACATATGTTAATTTATCCACCAATGAATACGTTACTTAATCCACTTAGGTACAATTGACTACGAGTAATGTCGTCAATTAATTGAAAGAACACCATTAAAATATCTATAAAATGGTTACAAGTATATGAAATATTCCAAAGAATGATTTCCGACCGAAGAAAAATACAGAAATAATACTGATGTGCTTCATTCCCTATTCAACGTTTCTCCAATGGAGAATTTTTCCCACATTTTTCCCGTGCTGCGTTTAATATGAAAACATTCTCGAAATGCCCTTTATGTGTTTTTGAAAGGTGTGTTTAGGGAGGAGAAAGAAACGTATGTCGTATAACTTTTGTCCTGCAGTGTATGAGAGACATATGTACTTCGGGTACATGTATAATCGAAAAGAATCATACAGAAAGAAATAGCATATTTTAACGAGATTTCATGTATGTCGAATTTTTTCTGAATATACTGTTTGAGTATTTTCTACCACTTTTTATCATTAAAATTACGTAATTGATATTCTAAACTACATTTTTCTCTTCATTCTGTAGTTGAAAGTATTACGTCATTGCATGGACAGGTACAAATAAATTGAAACTTGTTAACTGTTCTTAAAATTTTAACAAAACATAGAATAATATTAAGAGAATACGATCTCCCATTTTACTATAGCAAACGTATTTTTTTGCACGTTTTTTTACCCGCTCTTTTGAGGAACGTATTTTCCGTGTAAAGAAAGAGTCGAGTGTATCCTGATAAAATACAACTGTATATTAAAAACATTATTATTCCACGTCTAATTGTATTCACAATTATATATTACCGTTTGAAAATCGAATGCTACGGCGCTCTATGACATCACAGTGGCGTCATATGGGTACCTTTCAGATATTCAAAGTTACTGAACTTCCTCTACGTACATAGCAAAAACCACATTTCGTTAATTCCTGACAAAAACAGCTGGCTACTGGTGAAAGTTGCTCCCGGTGGCCATACAGTTAAAACACCGAACAGCCTAGCACCTGCTCGTGTAACACTCGCATGTATCGCGTTTGCAAAGATGTAACGTCATTATCCATCCCTCCCTGAAATGTAGATTCAATGGATGATCATTAATCACCCGCATAATACAGAAAAAGGCAACGGCAAAACGAGCATGGGTTGAATATTAGCGCTGGAACCTATTCCTAATTACGTTCCACGTGCTTAAAGGCTCTCCGGCCACAAGGTGCAATACACCCTTAGTTCCTTCCAGCCGCGGTTCTCTCTGTGTTCCTGGCGTTCTCCGTGTTCCTCTTCGAGAGGGCCAACACGCTCAGACCGCCGGCACTCCAGGCGGCGCCCCCTAGCCCCTTGTAATGCGATTATTTCACGGTGACTTTCTGCTCTGCGTTTCGCGGTTGAGAGCCTCGAGTATTCGCGTGCTCCTGATATTTTCGACCCCCTTCTATCAAATTACATTCATTCCTCCCTTGAATTAGCCTTTCCTCGACTCCACCAAGCCGGGCCAACGTAAGCAAAAACGTTTGTCCTATTATTAGACCCACCACCCAGCCGGCTTTTCACTGGACCAGTTCTACTTCGCAGCTTTGTCATCGCGGCACTTGATTTCATTCATTCCCCCTCTTTATTTCATTTTCGCGACTGGAGCACGCGATAATTAAGGGAAACTATCACCCCTATATTCTCGGCTATGGTCACGGTCGTAGATTTCGAAGGATGCTTGAAAGCTCGTTTATACGTTCAAGTAGTTTCCGCAAACTGACTTGTGCGTTCGCGTTTGCGTAAACAAATTATTGCATCTACATCGAAGCTTATGCGTTCCAATAATTTGCGCAAACTGATTTGTGTATTCACAATTTACGCAGGCAAATAAAATGCAAAAAATGGAAGCTAACGTCCCTGGTAAATAATTACCATTACTTTCCTTATTTTTGAATTTGTAATAACTAATATAGTTATTGTTTATTCTTTATATGTATACAGAATAAATGTCCAAGGTAGACTGAACATGTAATGCACACGTTAGTTTATGCCAATTATTTGAACGTGCAAACGGGCCTTAATATTTCTGTTCAGGACATGTAGATCGTCAGTGTCTGACACCATAAAATCTAAGAAGTGATATCTCGATATTGAAAAATAAAAAATTCTAAGGTTATGAAAACAGTAGAAATTTAGCCTAATTTTTTCGTAGTATTAATAAATGTAGTACAATGATACGATAATCATTTTACTGGAGTTTGTTGAAATATTTTATCCAGGGATGAGATTTTTTATAGGAATTATCGAAAAATTGTATTACTTTCATAGTCCAATTTTCAACGATTTTCTTTCCACATAGTTTCCTATTGTCGTAGTAAAGTTTCTCGCGAAGTTTCTGTTTTCAGACACTCTTCCGCATGTTCGGGTAATTACAGACATACTTTTCGACGTTTACTCGTATTATCACTAATTCCTGGTATTACCTGGCGCGAACGGAAAAATCAACAAAATCAACTCGGCGCTTAACACGTCACATACCAATTATTTAACAGTAGTCAACCCACTTTCCTGTGTTAGTTGCCAGTCCAAGTTGTCCTCTATCCATGCTACGAGTGGCGTGAAACGCCCTAAAGCGTTTCTTCGGTTTCAACGCGACTAAATGGGACAGATTGTACATATATCGCGTGACTAAATGGAATATATGAATGATGAAGCAGAAGCACACGGATGCGGTCGATCGCGATAAAACAAAAAAAAAAAAAAAAAAAAAAAAAAAGAATTGCACGTGGAGCCGTGTTTGTTTTATTTCATTTGTAACCGACGATTGCATACCGCAGGCAATTCTATTGACTGAAAAAAACACGAAATCCTGGTAGGTGAGCCGGCCCTCGACCGGCGAACACCGTTCCACGCGATGCATTTTTTGCATCTGACTGTTACTGACAAGCACGCGAGTGAATTGTTAAGATACAAAAGATCATGCTCGAACAACAATATGGCAAGAACGGATCGATTCTACACTGACCTTGTTAGGCGGCGCTTGGATCCCGTGGAAGGGTAGATTCTCGTAAAACGTCTTCGCCCCGGACTCGGGAAGACCCTCCGACACGCTGTTCACGTGATTGTTATTCGCAGCTTGATTGGGATCTGTAAGTGCAAATGAAACATGACTTTGTATAATTAAACACCGGGGGACACACTCGGTGTTTAGATTTACTTGAGACCTATAAGAGAGAGAGAGAGAAATAGAGAGAGACGCAGTGTCCGTTGGGAAGTATCTATGGTGGACTGTTTAAGTAGAGGGTTCTCGAGTGCACCAGAGAAGTAAGAGAGAGAAAGAGGGAAAAACAGAGAGAGCGAAAAAGACACAGAGATAGAATTTATCCGTAGTTGTTCAGGTGTAATTGTGTAGGCTATTGTAGAGCGAAGGACTATTTCTATATCTACTAATTGCACGTGTATACGAGATATCTAGGTAACCTTAGTGTCTGTAGTTTGTTGTATTTATCTTTTATTTTTCGTGTCAATCTTGACAGTGTGTAATCTTTCTTCTTCAGATTGGCTCTCGGGGTTTCGGAAATTTGTGAAAGGCGAATATAGTCCAGGAATTCCATGTATATCTTGTTAAGTGGGATTATATGGTTGGCCTTCTCGGATTGTTGTGAAGCTCGATAACACGTATTTGGAGATTGAATGATAATATTTTGAAATACTCTGTGTCAGTAAAGAGGTTTTTAATGATCGATAAATTGTTATGCATAATATTTTTCCTAGTTAAATGTTTTATAAGAAAGGGTTGGAAATAAGTATTCTTAATTTTTGTGTGGAAAATCTTAGTATGAATACAGTGTCTTGATTATTCATTAAAGAAGAAAAGTTAAATATTTAAATATCTTCAATCTCTAAATACACCCAAGGTTCATCAGAATCTTTAAGTGGTAACCATAGTTTTCTTCTTAACTTCATTTTTATCGTTTCTAAACTAACTTTCAGTAAAGTAAATATTGTTAGTTTTAATTAAAGCACAGATCTTTGTAGTAATTCTGTAAACAAATTACACGTTTCAATTAAATTATACTTCATTTTACAATTAAATTAATACAAGTCTATAAATTTAATAATTACAACATTATTCACAATTTTAAAGGAATATTTTCATTAACTCAATCTTTGACGTTTCATCTTACGTCTAAGAAAAATGTAAGAGAATATACGTTCTTAATTCGGAACATGTAAATCGTTTCTAATATTTAGTATTTACAGTTAACTTATCTTAGCGATCTTCAAAATAGTAAAGCATTGTTTAATATTTTTATAGGAATTGTGTATCGCGTAAAAATTTCTCACTGCAACAACAAAGCTAAAAATTCAGTAAATAACAGTGGTTCCGTAATCGTGTCTTATGAACACAGTATGTTTACACGATGCATGTATTTACACAGGAATGTTTATACGTGCAAGATTTATAATGAACCAACAATGAAATTCGATAAATCTACTTAGTGTGTACATATTTTATTAATCCACATGGTATCCCATAACAAATTTAGTAATAACATTATACTAGAATTCTCAAGTTATCACCAAAGAGTTACAAATGTTTATCGATCTGATCTTGTAGTATGTTACATCTTAAAATTTAAGATTATTAGGTATTTTTTCGACAGAGATGGGCAAATTTATTATCTGGATAAAGAGTTTCGAATAACGAATAAAATATAAACAAAGGTACCTCGTTGTTATTAATTGATTAAACGTGGAAATTCTAATTTTTATAATAACGTAATACTTCTTTTTAGAATGAGTGGACACTGGGCAAACTTTTAATTTGATGATTAAAATTATTTAATCTCGTTAACTGATTGAAATTCAGGATAACGTTCTTATTCGAAGGAAATTGGGCCCAACTCGGATCTTCGATTAAATAATCTTAAACAACCCCTTATAGATTTTGTTCAAACTGGTCTTGTTTTCCTCCTCCATAGTACTTCAAATAATCTAATCAATACTTCAAATGAACAACATGTACAAACCTATTAAATTTATAACCCCCGTTGTATAATTTATTTAAAAAAAAGACGTTCACCAACCCTTCAGTTAGCGGACATACTACTTGCTCGCACATTTGAACCATAAATCCTGCACGGGTAAACATTTCGCACCGTGGAATAGTGTTCAATTCACGAAATGGGTAAAAAATCATCGTAGAGGAGCGGGAACTCATTTGCAATTGACGACGGAAGTTGACAGACGAACCATGCACACATATTGCACACTATTGTTACATACCTGCGCCTGGTTTTTTTCGCTTACGGGAGACGTTGCCTCGATTCAATTCGCACGACGATTCCGCATGCAATATTCGCTCCCGTGGTGCTATTCTTTTGTAAGTCACAGCTAAGAGAAACACAAAAAACACAAAAAAAAAAGAAGCAATGACACAAACACATAAAGCCTTTTCGTCATGCAGCTGCCTGCTACGTGCAACATATATGTATATATATATATATATATATATTGATGGTAAAATTGTTTCGTTCAGCGGCGAACTGTTTAAACATTTATTCGTAAAACATTCGTGTCGATTGGATTGTCTAATATTAACTTCATGATCAATATTATCCATATTAACTTGTTGTTCTAATATCGATTTCATCATTGTGTTTCTTATTAAATTGTAATTTGTCATTGTAATTCTTCGTAAAATGTAAATTGTGCTCCACGTACGTTGAATCAATTACACGTGTGTATTAAACGACAGATAAATACTGCAAGGGAGGGTATATTTTTCAGTAAATAAAAATACCTATGTATCGAAGAATAACTTGTCAGAACGATATGTGTCATTTGGAAATAAAGAGAAAATATTAGAAAGAATTATTTCATTCGAGATAAAAATTATTTTAACTGGCTACATTTGAAGTTTAAAATAAATTGTGTAAGTTAATTGATATTATAATTGCCCTGTAATATTATGATTACTGTACTGATATCTGATGAGTTGGAATGTTATAAATAAAATGACAAATTGTTTATGCTCTGAAAATTATACATACATACGTGTATTGTTATCGTACGTTGGCGTAACAAATTAATCCCCTGCGTCTCATATAGATATACATTTGTAGATACAATTAATACTAAACGCACTAATTACAGTACCTTTTTTCAGCTACGTTGCAATCCAGAATATCTTTTTCGAGTTCTATGCAAATGTTGCAGGAAATCAAATTCATTTAGGTTCACAACGTTCCACAGAAAGGAGCAACAAAAAATGAAACATATCCTGCATGAATGACTATTAAAAGTTTCCTTGAAATATTTTGTTAGCTCGATGGAAACTGTATTGCAAACTCTCTAGTAACGACACGATGATACATGGCAATTGTAAATCATCCAGATTGGTCTATTGCCTTTCGTCGTTCAATAGGTTCCACATCAACCTAACCGAAATCTGACCGAAATTTCTGAAACAATGTTTCACAGATTCGAGCCTGCACTATACACTTTACAAATATTGTTCATTATTTATGTGTGTACGGTGTCGTTTCAAAACTCGTAAAGATAACAAAACAATCATGGTAAATTGAGTATAAAGTAGGAATTACGTTATAATAATGCCCTATAGGGAACACAAAATGTTTCTGTCCAACCCAACATAATTTTTTGTTTTCCGCAAAACGTTTTCTCCGCGAATCTTTTTATTGACTTCACGATGGCCATAGTCAATGAATTCTCGGGGAAGCTATAATCGTCGGATTAAAGCATCGGAACGTATTATCAACGATTGGAATTAAATTGAATTAATGGCGAAAGAATATACAGCAATTATTTATACGGAATATTGTAAAGCTGGAAAACCTGCATTCGGCGTGAAATCCGTAATTATGCGCGTGCTGCCTTATATTTCATAAGGCTTCCCGTGTACGAATTCGTTCGTAATTAAATGTTCCGCGTTATACGCTTCAAAACGGCGGGCATTGTACGCAAACTAGCATAATCGCGGATTTAATGGTTATTTATTACAAAGGATTTAAGTGGGCCGCTTTTAACTTCGGTAAACTGATACACAAAATTACACGATTTTTGCGTACGAGCGAGCCGACGATCCGTTTAACACACTTGGTATCGTCGAGCGTTCAATGCACTTCAATGAGCTCTGTGGATTGCGACCGAGCTGTCTTTCTAATGAAACCGTGTACGGGTAATTCGTATGATAAATCCCAGTTTGTTGCGTTTTCGAGTGCGATATTGCATATTTTAGCACATTCGCCGTTCCGCAATAAAAGAAGTCGCCGCGACGGAATCGCTTGGAAATCATACTTGTTATGAAGGATGACCGTGAATCGTTTTAAATAAATCAGTGTTTACTGTCCAAAAAAATGTTATCGCGATATAAAAACTGATGTTGCATTCCATTTTTAAAGGATCACAGACGTCTGTGTTATACGTGTTGTATGTTATCATAAAAATAATATCGTTATGAAATGTACGTAATAAATCCAGCCAAAAAAATATTATACAAAATACCGCTTAACTTGTACGTACAACTATATTTTGTATCGACATATTCAACATTAATTCAGCAAAATTCTATCGTTCTAAAAGAAAGCACGTGACACTAGATGTATGCAAGTGACATTAAGCAAACATAAAAATATTGTGTAAATATGAAAAAAAATTATTACATTTACTTCGATTCATTAAAAGAGTACTCTTAATTTCTCCTATGTACAATATCTGAAACTCAGAGCCATAGTGTCCTGAGTCCATTAAAAAAAAATGACATTGTACATGATTTCTGTATCAAATTTTTCACTCTTTTCGATAGTAAATATTATTTTGTTCTGAGACATCTGGTTTTCAATATAATCGTGTAAAAATCTATATCTTTTCTTTTCAAGCCAAACAGTGGAAAGTCCATCGCATAGAGGACCAAATACAAGCTCCATCACTTCAACATACCGAGACCTCTATCAAGTCCATCAATACTTCGAAAGTAGGGATTATTTCTCATTGAATTCCTATTGAACGGTTTCAAAGTTACAACACTTTTGCACCTTTCATTTTCCCTCTTTTAAAGTTTGAAAAGTGTGACTTAACACACTCTGACCCTACGATCCAAATACATGTATTATTCGACACGA